TTTAGAACTTCGCCGGGCGTCCGTCGAACCAGGGCAGGAGCTTCTTGGCGCAGTGGTCCGAGTGCACGAGCACGGGGATGCCGTAGGCAGGGGCCACAGCGCGGGCGAAGTGAGCCCCCGCCACCGCTCCCAAAATGGAGGCCTTGGCCCGAAACGGCACTCCTTTTGGAGGAAGGGTACCCTTCCTCCCACTAACATAGCATCTATGGGAGGCTCCCCGAAAGATCATTTTTTTCTTTTAAAATGGACCCTCTGTCAGGTGCCATGTTAGTGGGACGGAGTGTAACCTCATAACATCATTTTGGGGCTCTATGTTCTGTGCTCAGTAGGGAAAGAGGGAGTGGTAAAGGGTCACCAAAATTTCGTGGGGGCTGGGGAGGGGAGGGGGGGGGTGGGGAGGGGAGGGGAGGAGGAGGGGAGGGGAGGGAGGGGAGGGGAGGGGAGGGGAGGGGAGGGGAGGGAGCACAAGAGAGCTCAAATAAGGCTGTATTTTGGGCTTAATAAGGTCTTTTTTAGGGCTCCCTCCCCCTCCTCTCCCTCCCCCGCAGCCCGCATGACAAAAGGAAGCCAACTTCATAACCTCATTTTTGGGGTGCCCTATGTTCTTGCTGGTGCCATAGGCAGGGAAAAAGAAACTGGCCCAGAATGGGTCTGTCTGTTTGTCAGGGGGGGGTTTGTTTGATGGTTTTGCAGGGAAGCCAAAGGAAACCGAAGCCATGGATGATTTTGAAGGGAGACCAAAACGTGCGATCGCTGCTAGAGAGGCAGGGAACGAGTTGAATGACCCCGAGATCCAACGAATCTCTCTGGTGGTCTCCTTGAAGGGAATCCCCGGCCAGTTCATTCCTAACAGAAGGTCATTCCATACTGAGCACCAGCAAGACAATGAGTCTGCCTGTTTGTTGAGGGGTGGCCCCCAATAAAATGCTACAGTAGGTCACCCTTCGCTATGTTCTGTTTGGTTTTTGAAGGGTGGCAAGCCTTGGGTACCGGTTATACAGGTCAATGGATCCACCGTGCTTTGTTTTGATGGTGTTCAACGGAAGCCCAAAGGAGAACTGAAGCCATTCGGGGATGTCCAAATCCTCAAGAAGAAACACACACACACACACACACACTCATACGGGAGACGAAGCCACAACATGATTTCACTGCCTGCCTGTGGGTTGATGGATGTTCCACAGAAATCCATTTGAGCAGGTGTCAACATGATTAGACTTAGGCCCAGTTATAGAATGTATATGGTTTGCTTCCCTTTGAGTCACTGGTAAAAAAAATGTAAACTGTATCCTAAGTCTGCCCCAGTCAATCGGGAAAAAAGAGCCCCGCCTGCAGCTTGCCCTTCTCGTTGGGGAGCGACCTCGGAAATTCTGACGGATCGATCCATGGCTCCTCGGCCCGTGGGGTGGTTTCACAGGGATTGGAACCAAAAGCGGTGACCAAATGCAGGCGGGCGTCGCGTTGGTCAAAACAGCGCCAAAAATGGCTCACCAGTCTAGGCTGGAATTAGGACCCCAGGGAAAATTATCTTTTTTGCCTAGGTAGGGGAAAACAAAGGGACCCCAAAAAAGCAAAACGAAAAACACAAAAACCGACTAATTCTGGGGAAGCAGTGACCAAAGGTTGTTCTGACCGACTGTGGCCAAAACAAGCGACCAAATGTTTCCCCCCCCCCCCACTGCATCGGCCAAAACAAGTGAACCACATGTTGTCATAGGTGTCCTTTTGGGGCAAATAGATGGCCCTGGTAGATGATTAAACCACCAGGTAAACCAGGGATCGCCATCTATTTTTCCACCAAACCAAAAAGGACGCCTATGCATCTTGTTCTCTGCCACAAAAATCGGTATCGGTGAAGTCCAGGAGTTCGGGGCACCGGAAATGAAAGCCCCGGCATCTGTGAGGGCCATGCCCATGTCTGCTGTATGTGTGTGTCTTAGAGCAAAGCCCGCGTGCAAACAAATGAGCGGCTGGCTGCACCTATGGTTTGGGAAGCTTAACATGCGCTTGTCTCAAAATAGGATATGGAAACCCAGAATGGGCGGTTTACCTGTTTACCCTTTGGTCTCCTTCGACATGTCCCTGCAAAAGGGGGTCAATTGAAGGAAACTAGGTCAAGTGGAAAACACGTTTTTCGGGGCTTCTCAAAATTCCTTTTGGGCCCGTTTTCCCTCTTAAACCCGAGCCCCTTCAAACCAGCCTTTGATTGGGAATTCTACGAATGCCACTTAGGACCCTGAACATGCGCTAGTTCATGAGTGGGTGAATCGGAAATCCACCAAAAACACTCTCGGCGTTTGGAAATGGTCTTCCAACCTTCCCTCATTTCCAGGGATCTCTGTGCCTTAGAATGATGAAAGGGATGGGTTCAGACTGGGTCAGTCGAACTTAGGCGAAGGGTATCCTTTTCTCGGGGGGGCTTTGAAGGAGTTTGGGCCCTCCGATTTTTAAGACACACGCAAATGAAGGGCCGTTCAACGAGGATGTCCATGATACCAGCCTGAAGCGCCTCAGAGCTAGATCTTCGGGCAAGGCTTGCCATGCACTTCCCGTGTTTCTCAAAAAAAAACACGCGGTTGGAAAGGCAAACAACGGGGAAGGATTCCGGATGTGCCACTTGAAAGCGGCGTGTCCTTTTGCCAAAATGCGTGCCTCCTAAAACAGGAAGAGTTCACGTGGATGGAATTAGCTACTACCTAGGTGAGGCGTCCGAACACTCGGTCGGGACCCTTGTTGCCAAAGTCCGTCCAAAAACGGGAGGAAGGGGGAAGGCATCTGAGCAAACTCTCATACTTCACCGGAACAATGTGCAGGATCAAGCAAGGGATGTCATGGGCTAGTGGCTGATTCCTTTTCCATTCTTTTCCGACCATCGTTCTTTTCAAAAACCATCTATTTTCCCTGGGTTTCCGGACGTTTCCTAGAAAGAAGGATCCCTGGAAAGAATGTGGAAGGTACCCCTCGAGCTTTGGTGTTCTCGCTACCCCTCTCAAGGTGGAACCGAGCTCGTCTTCGACCTTAAAGCCTCAAAGGTCTTCACCCAACGATCCGATACCAAAGGGACAGTCACTGGCGAGCCGGAAACATCAGGCCAACCGAAAACCTGTGAGCCCAGTCCCAGAAAAGGGTGATGCTGAACAAAAACCTCCCAGGGGACATGTGGGTGTTTCTCAAACTGGGGTTTGGATTGAAGCGCTCTTGGCATTTAGAAGCACACCAGCGACCCCGTCGAGAAACCAACATACGCATGGACATGTGTTGGTTTTTTGGAGGCGATGGGTACCAGCGTCGGGGTCGCTTGCGGTGCTATTGCACCAAGAGGAAAGTTATGGGTGCCAATTCTTTCGACCAAAACCGTCTTCTTGTCTGAGGGTACCGTTTTGGTCAAAAGTAAAAAGGCCACTGTTGCCATGGACGATCCCTCCAGGCTTCAACCCCCCAGACAAAAAATATGCTCCGCCAAAAAATCAACCCCTCAGACGAAAAAATCGCTCCCCTAAAAAAATGAAAAACATAAGAAAAAAACCGCTCTTTAGTCTCCAAGCCGCTTTCCGGCCATAAAGGCGGCTCCTCCCTCCGAGAATTGGATGATGATGGGGCGGTTCAGCTCCTTACCAGCCTCCAGCACCGAGTTGATGGTGCTGGTGCTCGTGCAGTTGAAGGCTGGGATGGCGTACTTGTGCTCCTCACGCCGTGATCCAAGCTAGAAACATCACAAGGAAACTCACTTGAGCTTGGCAACCAAAAGGTGATGTTGAAAAAGCATACCTGAAAAGAGCTCAGTCCAACCTTTAAAAACATCACAACTCACTTCCGATCGAGACTGGCCAAACAAAAGTCCTGGGACTTGGGAAGTGAGACAAGGAAACTCAACTGGAACGTGGCATTTCAAAAGATGATGTGGAAAGAAACACACCGGAAACAAGGGAACTCTAGGGAACTCTGACTCATGAGGCAGCAAACACTTCAAGAGAAGAGCAAAACCAAAAAAGGCCAGAACCATGGAGACCACTCCCGTGGCCATGAAAGCAGGCGATGGATCCTGCACATGTTGTGCGCAGTAATGCTTGTTTACACGGTCTACGGCTGCGGCTCAACAATGAGCACCCTGATAAATGAAAACAAACGCCAAAATCTGCGGCTTGCCCCAGCTCGTGATGTTTGAGCCATACCCATATGGATGACCCCGATTTCGCCCGCAGCAATGTGTGTTGACCCTGGTTTTTGTGAATGATACATGGGTGTGTCTTTTTCTAGAGGACCCCCAAACATGGGTAGTTTCCTGTTGGTGTCCTTTAAAACCGAGCAAAAAGGGCTACCGTCAAAAAAGACAGGCGCACGTGGTGCTTTTCTTGAGCTTCCACTTGTTTCAGCTCCTTGGCATGCTGCAGCAAGGCCCACGCCAGGTCTCCGGTGACCACACCGGCCTTCATGCCCGGAATGTCCCAGAACGACATGATGATCCAAGGAGAGCGCGGAAGGCAAAAGAACGAGGAGCAGCTTGAGCCAAAATAATGTCCGGCATGGAATTGATTCGCCTGCTTTTCCTCTTCAGGCAGGCAGCTGAAGAGCCGGCGGAAAGTTCCTAAGCCGGCCCTTCGCGCAGTCACCGGGCATTTACTCCCACCTTTCGACCACAGCCCATGTTTTGCGGGGAGCGGATTTGCATGTGTTGAAGCACTCAGTTGTTCAGTGACCCTGGAAAGAAAGGACACCCTTTCTGGGGAAGACCATTTTTAGTGGGGCAGCCACCCCACTGAACAACTGAGAGTCCTTTTCGGGCGCACTTCTGCCATTCCAGAGAGGGTTTTTCAGTCCCAAGCCATCCAGATCTCCGTCCCAATTTCCTCAGTCAGTCCTCCCACTCCCCCAAGAAACACAGTCGCAATCAAAACCTGGTACTAAAATGGACCCAGAACCATGTACAGGATTAAACCGGATTTCCGCAGCTATTTGTGGCAAACGGATTTTCCCTTATCCTTCATCTACCCGGGTAGGTCCTGGTGGAGATGAGGTCGGCGTAGTACTGGGGGAAGAGACACCGCCAGGGCTCAGACTTAAACCGCTCCAGGCAGTCCGAGTGCAAGCCCGAGTACCCCCGGCTCACGTTGAAGAGGCTGATGATCCTCGCATGGCGCCCCTCTCGGGCGCAGCCCCTTTGGGACGAGAGCAGAAGGTTTCCACCCCCAAAGGAAGAAAATGGGATTCGGATGCCAGTGGCCGACAGAAACAAAAAGCCCCTTTCTCGCATCTTGCCCGCAAAAAATGGTGGCTTGAGCAGTGCCACCTCCCGAACGCGCTTGAGCAGTGCAACCTCCCGAACCCGGCTGGGACAAGTGACTTTCTGATTGCCATGCCTTGTTCGACTCTGGAAAACCGATGGACACGATCACCTCCCCAGTGAGTTCGGGGAACAAACTTCGGCGAACTTCGGCGAGAAACCGAGGCGCTGGTTGGGCCAACAGCGGATGCCCTTGATATCCGGCAGATCCAAGAAGAAGCCGGCATCCGCCAGGGCGAGGACCTCCATATCTTGCCTCGCGAAGCTGGGCGCTTGCACCGGCGCGTTCCCGAGATTGGCATAAACACGGGGTTTGTTGAAGGGAAACAAAAGAGGAACCATCCCACTTGATGAGTCGTTTTCATATTTTGACAAGCCTCTTGGGTATGATTTTCTAGTGATCGTTGGGACATCCTTTCTACGGGTGTTGTTTTTGCCTACAAGTCTTTTTCACCGCTGTGTCCCATCCGGCCAACGGGTTGATCACAAATTTGACGAGGGCTCCCCATCTTCAGTGGGACGTCCCGCTACAAGGGATAGCATGGTGGGTTTTCAGGCGTGGCAGTATCCACCTGCTCCAAATGGCTGGGAAATCAAAAGCTGTCCACCTCAAATACCGCTTTTCGTGTTGCTGCTAAAGTAGAATGGCAACCCTGAACTCAAACAAACACATATACAAGAAGAATCCCCGTCCCTCGATGCCCCAAAATTCACCCAAACTCATCGGCGGATTGAGGCCTGCTTTCGGAAACATGGGCAAATTCTCCATCAGAAAGCCAAAGAGTCTAACCACATACAGGAACCAAGAAGCAGATCCTGAAACAAGTCCGTGACTTTTGCCAAAACCGTGTACCGGTTCCATAATGGTTGCCATTGAAGGTTCGCCTCAAAAAACACAAATCAAACCAACAGTGTGGCCCAATCGCTGTGACCCTCCAGTCTTTCAGTAGAACAAAAAGGTCCCATCGCGTGCTTGGGCTCACCACTTCAAACACCAGGGCTGTTTAAATATTCGCGTGGGGCAACATTTTCTGGTCCTGTTAGAATAAGGGTACCTTATTTTTTCTGTAGTCTAATTTAGTAGGGGAACGCTCCCCAAAAAAAGGGAAAGCTGGGCACTACTGGGGGACATAGTTAAACCGCCAGACCGCACGGGAGATCTTGGGGAGAGTTGTATGTGAGGTTTACAGGGGGTGGACCTTGCAAGAAAGCAAGTCATTGATAAGTCTCCTGCACTCAGCAAGTCCAACAAAACTCGAGCCAGGACGAAAAACTACCTGCCATAGGTAGATAGGTAGCCCTCTGTTAGATAGATAGCCCACTGGAATAAACCCAATCCAAACCAGTAGAGCTCATCTATCTTTAACCAATCTAGCCTAAAAAGGACGCCATAGACCACCTGCATGCCACATGCAGCTTTTCGCAAACCAAAGGGCAAACCCTGCACGACCTGAACTTTCCTCGGCCTCGAGATCGAAAAAAACAGATGGCAAACCTTGGGGCCACCGCTCAACATCAGTGGATCTCCTGTTGGTTTCCCCTTTGAAATACATAGGGCTATGGGTGAACATCCCAATCCCCACTAAACTAGACTAAAATGGGTGGTGCACCTACCCCAAAATGGTACCATTGGTGTTGACCCCCCACATATTTGTCTTGTTGGCGGATTCTGTCCGAAACAAAACTCGAACGGATTGAATAGCGAGTTGGCAATCCCCGTCGACCAAATGATCTCTTTCCTGGAAAGCTGTCAGCCTGCGAAGTCATTCCATAGAAAATACTAGGCTGGAATTAGGACCCCAGAAAAAGAACATGTTTGCCTGGTTAGTGGAAAACAAAGGGACCCAAAAAAGCGAGAAAAAAATGGGGGAACTAATTCTGGGGAAAAATATAGATCCATGTGCTGAGGTGAGCATGAGGAACCGTGTTCCATTATTCATGACCGACAAAGCTACTGTAACATACGCCCTGGCTCGTACTGCTCAGTTGTTCAGTGACCCTGGAAAATAAAGGGGAAGACCCTTTTTAGTGGGACAGCCACCAAAAAAAAGTTGGAAACAGAATTGGTGCCACTGAACAACTGAGACTGTTGAACGCTCTCACATACTTTTGTTTCTGGTTTTGCCCATCATTTGGTGCGCTACAGAACACTTCAAATTTCAGATGTGACGTAACTCGCTGCGACATATACTACAAAGGATACGCCTTCCCAATGCTTTCCTAGGTCCTCCGGTAGAGAGGTTAGAATAAGGGTACCCTTTTCTCCGTAGTCTATTTTAGTAGGGGAACCCTCCCCCAGAAAAGGGTAAAAGGGCACTACTGGAAGACCTAGAAACCATAGGGTGGCCTTTTTGAAAAATAGATGGGTGTCCCGCGTAAATGGTTTATAACACCTAAACAAGTGGAACCCATCTATTTTTAACCAATCTAAGCGATCAAAAGGATGCGACCTGCCACCTGTAGCTTGTCGCAAGGCAAATGGAAACCACCCCTCCACCGCCAAACCACCGGGCTCCAAACCGACTGATAGGCTTACCTGAAAACCTTCAAATTTCAACCGAACCTCCGGTGCCTGCAGTTCTCCGTCATGCGCCGTCGCTCCGTTGCCACGCAGACTCCCTGCAAACGCTCCCGCAGCGCCTGCGGCATGACCGATTGGAACTCTGCCCTGAACTGACCTGGAAATTCCATCTGATCGCCTTTCGGAAGCACGAAACATGGACCAAACAGCGGAAACCAAGAGTGTCAAACCACGAAGAATGGACCAACCAGGGGAAACCCAAAGGTCAAACCACTAAACATGGACCAGACAGGGGAAACCAAGAGTGTCAAAAGCTCGATTCGCTTTGGGCAACTGAGCATTGGGCACTGAAATAACAAGGGCTCACTGGATTTCCCCGTCAAAAGTTTGATCAATTTACGGTGGTTTCCATTGAAACTCCCACTTTTGAAGGTTCCAATAACGGAATTAGAGGAGGAAACCCTGTTTACCCTCTCATGAACCGCTTCTGAAGAGAAACAACTTGAATCCAACCATAAGATCTCCCCGACAAAGCAGTGCTGTCAAGCTCTGCGCTCCCCCTCACAAGGGACGCCCCAAGTGGATTCGAACCCCAGGCCTGTACCAAGGGGATTTGTCGTCCCAACTTTCGACCGACGTCCGCAAAAAGCTAACAACGTTCGGGCGAGGCCTCCCCTGCAAAAAGTACTGGCCAGTAAGAGACATCTCCAAGTCATAGGTGTCCTTTTGATGGATTTTAGGTGGCTTCTTCTCAGGTTCGGGAAACTCAACAGAACCCATTGTTCAAAAGTCCTCCGTTTGGGGACTAAACTGTGGGTCAAAAATAGGGTAACCTCGAAACGGTTGCCCTGGTAAATGTCAAGATGGACTAAAACCTGCGGCCTGGAGTCTGGTGGTTAAAATTTGACCGAGACCCAAGTAATCCGGCAACCGAAGGCGTAAACCCAGATGTTGGTCCGGTCATTTACATACAGAGTCATCTGTATTTTGACGGGGGTTTCCTAATAGAATTCATAGACATACGTGCCAAAATAAGGGAAACCCAAGAATGCTGCTTGTCCTTCTTGCCCTTGAAGCCGAGCTGAAAGGTTGGTACCCTTCGCCTCAAACAAATCACCAAAGTCCTTATGACTCTCCCACGGGTTTCCGAGCCGAGACGCTCAGCTTTCCTTCTGGCTTCCCTTCAAACACCCACTAACACGGGGGTTCATCCTTTGGGGACACCCCCATAGGAGGAAGGCCGACGGTTTCTATGTACCCCTCAAAAACCTCAAGGGCACAGAATCTCATAATCCACCAACACATAATCTCGCTTCCTGAGATGAGCCAACAAAAGAAACCAACTGCTGTTTCGCAACATGATCTTCCCAAGTATTATGCTGTTGCTAACAAAAAAAACTCAGGTCAGGCGCGTTTTTTTTGGTGCGTCCTCTCCATAGGGCTGAGCATGGGCGCCCTGACCCACCCCGCGCCCGAGGGCCGAAACCGCCGACGAATCCCCGGCGACTCCCCCAGGTCCGAGGCGCGTCCGCGTGGAAGAGCACCGCGCTGGCCCCCGCGCTGCCGCCGCTGAGCACCACCTTCCGGGCCTCCAACAGACGCTCCTCGCCCCAAGGCGCCGCGGGCGGCGCGCGTGGTGCTCGCGTGTTGCTCGCGTGGCGAAGGCGCGGAAGGGCGCGCGGGAGCGAAGGCTGCGGGAAGGTTTTAAGAGGGGAACCCAACAAAGACACAAATGGAATCGGGGGGGGGGGGGGGGATTTTGAGGGTGGCCGGGAGGTTGGTTGGAAGGGAAACGCTTCAAAAAGACACTTGGGGGTGGAATATTCCGTTTGGCTTCTCCTTTTTGGCGGGACATATCATCTCTTTAATGGTGTTTTTTCGCAATGGCCATCCCATGTAAAGGACTTCTTGATCAACCCCCACATCATGTTTCTTCTTTCTTACCAAAACTGGGTACCAAATGGAGGTTTCCCTTTTGGCGTCCCTTAAAACCCCCCAAACAAATACCCCCGAAAGAAAGAGTCGGACTCCTTGGCAGGCTGCCCCACAAAATGCTGAAAGGCCACAAGAAAATCATGGCCAGTTCGGCCAAAAGGCGCGTTTTTCTGCAGCATTGCAAACCCAAAAAGCTTGAGTTCACCTTCATTCCATAGTCCAACCTCCCATTTGCATAAGCCGCCCTGGGAAAAAATATGAAGGATGTTCAGTAGTGGTAGTTTCCCTTTGAAACCAACAGGGGAAAACACACATGCTCTCAAAATGGAGCATCTGCTGCGGATTGCTTGAAGGGGACACCTTTTCAAAACGCCACATCTGGACCTCCTTGCGGGAATGCTCCCTGGTTTTTTGTTTCGTTTGTTTTCTTGTTTAAATAAATGTGTTTTGTACAGTCTCAGGAATCACATCATGAGCGATCTGCCGGACAAAAACCGGAGGAAAGCAGAAGGGAAGGGCAGAGAACACATGGCTGTGGGTCAAAATGGGTACCTAAAATGGCTCGGAAATGGACACAAGGACTGCAACCTGCGGTCCCCTAGTGCTTTAATCTTAACCCATAAGAATATGGGTTTGTGTCTAAAACCCAAAGAAATGGGGAACCTCAAAGACCGGCGGGTTTCTCTTCTCTTGAAGCTGCCAGAAGCACTGGGAGTACTCTGGAGCTGTCAGCGTCCACCCGGATGCACAGGCTCGGCTTGCTATGGGTCTGTCCTTTTTTTCAAGGGTACCCTTTTTCTTGGTTTTAAAGGGCCACACAAAGGAAAGCCACTATATGTATTTATATATATATATACATATGTGTATATATATATAGATTTGGGGGGGGTCCGATTCGTAACAAAAGACGAGCCACCCCATGAACCCAAGCTGAGTGGAGAGCTTGGCTTTGAGAGGGGCTGTCCTCGGATCCCGCGCATTTGTTTTAAACTTCCAGTGCATGGGTGAAATGGACATCTCCACTAAACCCCAAAAAGGTAAAAACTGCAGGAGACGGCTGGGAACCAACAAGTTGAGAGGGGTGAAAACAAATGACACAAACTTTTTGGAGGCGAAAAAGAGTGCCGGACAGTGTCCTTGGTTTCGAGCTCTGTGATGACGGCGTTGAGGATCCTTAGCCAACCGCCCAAAACTCGAGCCAACTTTTGGTTCATGTGGGGCTTTCTATAAACCGTGGAAGCCAAGCAGAACCATCAATAGACGCGCAAAACAAGCTCAGCAAATGAGACTATTCGGGATCCTGCTTGGGTAAGTTGAAGGATCTCCTTGTTTGGACACATTACGCATGAATTGAACAAAACCTACTGGCAGCTTGATGCGCCTCTCTGCTTGTGGAGATGTTTGATGTCACCCTAGTGGCCATCTCGGGGTCTAAGCAAAGTGAGCAATTGATCAACTGAAGGAAACGTGTGAAATGCTTTCCAAGAATTCGCAGCTATTCAACCCCACTCAGGGGTTGATAGTGTATGTGTGTTTATATGTGTGTGTTTAAATGCGGACTCTCCATATCCGCTCAACCGTAAAGTGCCATCAACAGGCGCTGGCGAGCGGCAAAAGCTCTCAGCCAAGAAGCTGCTGCCCCTTGAAATGCAAACCATCCACCTCCGAGTCCCCGGTAAAGCTGGCGCCATCACAGTAGGGCACGTAGACCAAGGTCCAGTTGTGAAAGACCGGGTTCGCGCTGGCATCTGCGCTGAGCATTCCGGACAGACGGTGGTCCTGACAGGAGCGCACCCTTGAATTGACTTGTTCAGAGGGCCGCAAAAGACTCGCAAACAACAGCCATCCCTTTTGTGGAGCAACCTTCATATGTCAGCACAAGACGGTGAGGACGCCAAACCTCAGGCCTCCCAGAACATAACGTCTGCACTTTGGCGGTGTCATGCTTCGGCGTAGCT